CCATGCATTGACTAAATTATGTTTATGGAATTTGTTTTTATAATTGCAACAACGATTGCTGTGAGAGGCGTCAATTGGCCTGCAGGAATCAAAACCAATGGTTGGTATATTCATGGAGCTAGAAAGGGACTAGTCAAATAAGTCTTTTCATACCTAATTTACATAATACTGTACATAATAATGACCGAGTAGACTGGTTGTTACAGTTGTTTAAAGAAATATAATAATACATAGTCTATTACGTTATATCGGTGATCAATTGTTTACAGAAATATCGAATACGTAGTCTATTACGTGATGTCGGCATTCAGTTTTACAAAAATATTAAAACATACTAGTAGTTTGGCGTACAGTTTAGTTGTTTACATAAATATTTAGTGTATAACCACCTTTCAAAATAACGTTTTTTAAACATTTTCCAAACAACAAAAACGCCAACGTCCTTGAAAATAGTATGATACAGGTAAAAATTTGAAGGGCGCTAGTCGTTGCGCAGCGCGTTTTCGTACTTCATGTAAACAACATTATATATACTAGTACGTGTTCTTTACGTCGGTATGAGTCCCATAGCCAACAGGTCGCGATGACCACCGCCGTTTGAACAAACGACTTTTTTTATTTTATATGCTCACCAACAATTTCAGAATAATAATGTTTGAAACGTTTATAAAAAAAATAACAACGCCAATCTTCCAGACAATGGTGCGATTTGAAAAAAAAAATATTTTGAGAAGGTGTTTAAAGGGGAACCGATACTATAAATAACGGTCAAGATGGCCACCGTATTAGTATGCTAACCCGAACCAAGCCGCTAACATCATGGCGGGAGCTCCTTGAAATGTGCCATTTACGATGTTTGGAGATTAAGCTGTGGTTCCAAATACATATCCACGGGGGCATGCATATGTACGCTAGCGATTACAATCACCTTGTTGGGCTTTTGACGTATAAATGTTGTTATTTTCGGTCGAAATGTCATGAATTTGTTTTCGCGTATCTGTTGGTCGACTTAATTAACTGATTATTAGCGAATTGCTGTGTTATGTCTGTCATCGTTCAGGTCTATTTGAAGTTTTGGACGGAACTTGGCTCAGTGATTTGGAACTAATTACGAGATAATCGTCGCCATTCTGACAGTTTATATTCATAGTTATTAATGTAGTGAACGATTAATCAAAATATATGACGTATTCAGTACTTAGTGTGATTGGCTTTATGATTGAAGGTTACGCCCTAGAGTCTTTTTACTGCATTGTAATTGGTCAGAGTTTTGAAAATGAATAAAGAGAGTTTGAGTTGGTCTTGGCGAATACTCCACGACAGACGCAGTCCGAGAGAGTCCAGGGGCGAGCCTTGAGGCAGTACAGTCTTGGGCTAGTCTTGGGTCAGCCTTGCGAGAGTCTTGGGATTTTTTCCCCAGGGCGCTGTGTCTTATAGAGTGCTCGATTGACCGACTAAGACGAGAGCTGAAACGTATTTCGTTGTGTGTGTCTTATTTGACTGTAAAGTATAAGTGACTTTCCCGATCCCGTACCTCAAGGGGACGAGATATAGAGACGAGACGAGTTCCCCCCCCCCCTGACAAGTGTGGAGAACCCGAGAGAAAGAGAGAATTTCCCCCTGATAGAAACGTGCCGCGACCAGTGAAAATCACGAGTTTAAAATGGTGGCTAATGTATGCAAAATGTCTGTCAATCACAGTTTGAGTAAACGAAAATGTAAATCACCTAGGTGTTTATTTAATCTACAAAGCTTGTTGGTTTACAAACAGCATTATGTCTAACCACAGTCCTTCAAACCATTGGCTAACCATCGGTAACACTGGGACATGACGATGTAAGACAGTAAACAATGTCAATAACATTAGGTTACGGGCTTTCGGATTATCATGATTTATATTTCAGTCAGTTTGACAGTGATTGTCATGACATATACTGATAAAGGTTAATGACAAGACCAGATGGCGAGCTGGTCGAAATCAACCAAAAACATCTTATGACTCTGCAGTTTTTAAGATACAAGACAGTAGCTGTAATTCTAAACCAATGTTTTTTGCGAGTTTAAAAAAGGTAGTATCTTGGTGGAATGTTAGTGCGAGATTATTA